AGATCCAAATGAAAGTAAAACGAAAAATCGAGCTCTTCAGGTCTCACTTTTGAGTCTTTTCTGGTGCATCAAAGCTAGTCAGGACGTAAAACGGCGAAAAAAGTCGACCGCTTCCTACTTGATGGGGTGACAAACAAGATGTCGTTCAGGCTTCTTTTTCGACGTGCAGGGGAGAGCATTATGCGGACATCACCGACCTCCTGACCATGCGGCATTGTTCGGGACCAAAGGAAGTCTAGATTGAGGAAAAAGCAGCAAAATCATGACCCAGCCTACAAAATCATATTTCGTTTGCATACTCAGCAGCTTTTGCGTCTAGACACGAAACTGTCTCGTCCCAAGGACCATAAGCAGCTATAGTATGCGACGACGACATACACCGCTAGCTAGATCTTGCTTTCAGCACCGCTTATCGCTCACGTGGATTTCATGCCTACCCTGTGATGTTCCAACAACATCAGTCCGCCCTTATTATTATTGTTCACATGTTGAATCCATGTACAATAAATTTGACGCGAGGGCGTACTAAGAATTGTGCCGTAGACTCACAGGTTGCAAGGCTGGCACGTGTGTCGACGGCCCGCAGCTGTCCGACCCCGTCGTAGCCAGAAAGTCTCATTCGTCACACGTGGATCGTTCACTGCCTTCCTCTGCCTGATGCTGATTTTTGTCAGGAAAGCTGCATTCGAAAGTGGAATGCCAGCATTTCAAACACTTCTTCTATGGCTTTTTTGCTAGCTGTACTGCTCTGTCATTCGAATTGATTCCGTACTTTTGGCATTCGACGTCCTCAACGATTCCTACTCAATCTCGTTGCGCACAGGAATGATGTCCAAGAGCCTAATTATGCTTGGCTTATTGAGCCCAACAGCCTTTGCTTTTGTCCCCAAGCTTTCAACAAATGTGCTCTCCCGGGCTATTTCCTCACATGCACGCAAGAACCTGGTCAAGGCTTCTGCTGTGGATTACAAAACCGCATTCATGTTCCCTGGCCAGGGGGCCCAGTATGTGGGAATGGGAGCACAGGTCAGCGAGGAGGTGCCCGCAGCCAAAGCTCTGTTTGAAAAAGCCAGCGAGATCCTAGGATACGATCTACTGGATCGAGCAATGAATGGACCGAAGGACTTATTGGACTCCACGGCGGTAAGCCAGCCCGCCATCTTCGTCGCCTCGGCTGCCGCAGTCGAGAAACTTCGGGCCACAGAGGGCGAAGACGCGGCGAATGCCGCCACCGTCGCGATGGGTCTATCTTTAGGGGAATACTCGGCATTGTGTTACGCAGGAGCCTTTTCATTCGAGGACGGTGTGCGCCTGACAAAGGCCAGAGGGGAAGCCATGCAAGCCGCCGCCGACCTGGTGGACACGACCATGGTAAGCGTCATCGGTTTGGAGGCGGACAAGGTGAACGAGCTTTGTGCCGCAGCTTCCTCCAAATCTGGAGAGAAGATACAAATTGCCAACTACCTGTGCCCTGGGAACTACGCGGTATCTGGAAGCTTGAAAGCGGCGCAGGTGCTGGAGGAGATCGCCAAGCCGGAGTTCGGGGCCCGAATGACAGTGCGTCTGGCCGTGGCCGGCGCCTTCCACACGGAGTACATGGCTCCCGCCCTGGAAAAACTAAAGGAGGTCTTGGCCAAGACAGAGTTCAAGACGCCGCGTATCCCAGTCATTTCCAATGTGGATGGGAAGCCCCATTCGGACCCTGAGGAAATCAAGGCCATTCTCGCCAAACAGGTGACTTCGCCGGTGCAGTGGGAGACCACCATGAACGACCTGGTCAAAGGTGGGCTTGAAACGGGCTATGAACTGGGGCCTGGCAAGGTTTGTGCCGGGATTCTCAAGCGCATCGACCGAAAAGCGAAGATGGTGAACATCGAGGCCTGAGCCGGCGACCGGGAGCAAACTGGAAATCGTTTGCGGGAGGATGAGGAACAAGCTTGGAAGGATAAGCAGTGGACTAATTAAGTGTGCTCTCTGTTTTTTCTGTGTCGTCTAAGTGAAGCCTGGTGTGCTAGTGACATGTGCTGTAAGCAAGGGGGCATCCCCCTGGTTGCCCGTCGTCGGGTCCTTTCGGTGAGCTGGCCACCATCAACAAAGCAGTCCGAGTGCGTCAAGAATAGCCGAGTATACTTTTGTTTGCGCTACACTTCATGTTCCTTTTGGCTTAGGGAAATGCCTTACGGCGACAACCTGACCGTCGCGTGCTCGAAAGGTCTCACGCCTGCAAGGGAGCCACCCCGTACTGAGCCCGATACTCACGAATGGCTTCGAGAGCCTCCTTTTCCCCATCCCCCGCCTTTCCATTTCCGGCTTTCTCCATGAAAAACTCCAACAATTCCCGCAAACCAACCACGCTCAAGACTTGGACACCGTACTGCTGCTCAACGGACTGCACCGCCGAAAGCGGGGAATCGGTTCCTCGCTCCTGCCGGTCTAGTGCCAGCGCGACGCCAACCACCTCTGCCTGGACGGACGTCAAGAGCTGCATGCTCTCGCGGATGGCCGTGCCCGCCGTAATCACGTCGTCGACGATCACCACCCGCTTCCCGGACAGGGCGGCACCCACTAATCTGCCCCCCTCCCCGTGGTCCTTCGCCTCTTTTCGGTCGTAAGCAAAGGGCACATCGCGCCCAGTCAGCTCTCCTAGGGCGACCGCTACCGCCGACGCTAAGGTGATCCCCTTGTAGGCCGGCCCGAAAAGGACATCGAACACCAAGCCGCTTTCCAGAAGCGTCCGAGCGTAGAAGTGACTGAGTTTTTTCAGCGCAAGCCCTGATGTGAACTTGCCGGCGTTGAAGAAATAGGGCGAAACGCGGCCAGACTTGAGAGTGAATGAGCCTAAGAGCAGCACCTCACTGTCGAGGGCGAAGCGGATAAAGTCCGATTGAAAAGATTTTAAAGCACCCCCTCGAGGCGCTTCCACAAGCGATTCCACATTGCTCATGTCCACTTGCGATCGCGCTTGCTTCCGGGCGACGTTGATGGCCACTCGAAAAGCTTCGGCCGCCTCGGCCGGGTCGCGTGCCTGTGAGATGCCTCGCGAGATGGGTAAGAGCAATTTGCTTGCTCCCTTGGACAGACCCGCCGCACACGCCCCTATCAAATCCCCTCCTTGAGCGCCGATGCCCGGAGCCAAAATCCACATATCTGGTACTATGGCACGAACACGTTTCAAAGCATCAGGATCAGTCGCGCCGACAACAAGGCCTATCCGGTCTTGGTACTGAGTGCCCCATTCCCCTGCCCGGCGTGCCACCTCCTCGTATAGTAGCCATGGCAGCACTCGTGACTGGCAACCACTACCAATGGTAGAGAGAGAGCAAGGAATTGTTTGGAAGTCTGCCGAGGACGGGTTCGAGGTTTTGCACAATATGAAAGCGCCAGCGTGAGGGTCTCTCATAAACGGAGCCACGGAATCCACGCCCATGTACCCATGCAGGGTTACGCCGGTAGCCCCGACGCTTTTGAAACACGCGGTTGCGTACGCATCTGCCGTAGTACTAATATCCCCACGTTTCGCATCCAAAATGACAGGTATGTCAGACGGGACTGATTGCACAACCTCCAGCAAAGCTTGCCACCCCTCAGTTCCGAGGGCCTCGAAAAAAGCTATGTTTGGCTTGTACGCGGCTGCGTAGGGCGCCGTTGCCTCAATGAGCCGCTTGCAGAATTTATATGCAGCCGCACCTGTTGCTTCCTGAAGCTATATGAGTGTGTACGTGTGCACAGCCTTGGTGAGTGAGGACTTTGTGGCGGCCGTCGGGAGAGGTGTCGGCTTACCTGTGCACCATGAGGGTCGAGTCCGACGCAAAGCAACGAGTCCACCGACTTCACCCTTGCCTCTAAGCATTCAAAAAAAGACATAGCCATGCCTGTGAGGATAAAATTGCGAAAGTCGTGGGCAAAACAAATGTTACGAGTCGACGGGCAGCGCGACCTCCCACCCCAGCAAGTCTCGTAGAGCCTCGCCACAGGCCCTTAGCGACGGGACAAGAGCGGAACAATTACTTCACGTCCGCGTGCCTAGACCCTCACTGCCATCCTCTCACGCTCTACCTCGGCTACAGAAAGACAGACTCGATCCAGTACTACAGCCCTACTTTCAAATTGTGCGACTTAACTTTCCCTCACGTCCACGCGAACATTTCTTCTCGCCTCGGCTCTCCCGTACTTCGCAGCACGTGCCGCCACAAGAGTAAACCATGCCGTTTCAGCTAATTAGCCTGTAAGTTCTCATCCTTAAGCCTTTAAAAAGCTACCTATACTCAGATGTGACCGATATGCAACGTTGTTGCCCTCTTCCCACGTCCTTACAGACTTATGGAGCCCCAAAATAAGGAAGTAGGTCGCAAGCTCTTCATTTACACCTTGGCCATGTTCAGCTTGCCCATTTTTGTCTTCTATATTTGCCGTCATTTAATTTTTGCTGCAGACACAGAAAGAAGAGACATGTGGAGGTAGGTGACGGAGGGAAGACATGCCAAGTGAGGAAGCCTGAAGAGGCGCTCTCAGGACATGGCGACCCGTCATTTCAATAATTGCCCACATTCATGTACGCTGTCTCATCCACATGAACTTATCCTCCGTAATATGGATACTGCCCCCACCAATTGCAGCGGTTTCACCGCAGTGGCCTCTGTAAACGCGATCATCGTTTTATACGTGGTATCGGCATTTCGCGAGGATCGGGAGGAGGTTTGCCAGCCCGCGCCTGCCGTTGGTGTGTGGGCTACGAGGCACGCCAAGGAGCGCACAGATTGAGGGGCTCGGGGAGAGAGGCAAGAACTGTATGATAAGATCACAAAGTATCCTCTGTGGGGGGAGAACGTTGCCTCCCAGGTAGTCAGAAAGCCCTTCGCGGGAAGAACATGTAATCGAAACAAGACCCCAACCCGCAGACATAAGGCCGATAACGGAAGAAATACTTTCTTTTCTTTTTACAACCGTCCGCTGGGTCGGGCATTCAAGTTACCAATTCTCAATTTTTTTTGAAAAACAGCACGTGCACCGCCATGCCCACACAAGCTAGGCCGACCCATTCACTCTTCCGCTCACCAATCCGCGACGCTTTCCAGCAGAAACCCAAGAGGCCCTCGTGCCGATTGATCGCCCCGTCCGCGGAGGGAGCGTTATCAAAAATGGTAGAGCGGAACCCGCGCAGGTATGTGCAGGTGACGATGAAGAGAAGGACAACGGTGATCAGGCTGGAGAAATCGAATATCGCAGACTACAGCAATGAGCGCATGGGTGTAGAATGTTTCTGGTTAGGGTCAGTGTTCTAGCGTTCACTTAATTTTAAGCCCACAACGGAGCACGAAAGAGCAATTTTAATGGAGAACATCATACCCTAGCGAGACCGAACTTGCTCCCGTCTGCTATGGAAAGGACTGAGGAAAGCGGAACAGTGGGATACGCGAAGTACATACCATAATGTCCCAGACTAATCTCACAAGCTGCCCCCTTCGGTGCTATCCCTGCTGAAAGATTCAGCACGAAGAAATGCCTGTCCCCGTTATGTGGCTGTGTGAGTATTTAGCGCTCACGTCGAAGAATTTCTGCATTTTGGCGACTTCCGTTAGTCAAGTTCGAGCAGAACTCGTGCCGCGTGGAATAATTCGCGAGAATGGAGGGCTAGACGTAGCCTTCAAGCCATTTTCCAGGGAACCATGAGACACAAACGCATGTATATTAAAGTGCCGACTCAATGGAGTGGAAGTACGGGGGCAGGAGCAGGAGCAGCCCACGCCCGTCGCGACCGTTACGGAAGCAACCTCCCGCCCTTTCCCCCGGGAGCTTTTTCATCCAAATTATTAGATCTTTCATTCACGTTTTTTCCCTTTTTTCTCTGTAACAGAGATAGATAAAATAATGCCTAATTTATTGATGCACAACAGCAATGTTCTTCAACAATCCAGCGAAGTCAACATCGCACTTTTTGACGCTTGCAAGGAAGGTGGCAATGTAGATCAGGTAAAAACCCTACTTGCGGCCGGCGCCAACCCCAACTGGTACAACAACCAAGAGGGTGGGAAAACTGCTCTACACGCCGCTGCACATGTCCCTTCAGCGTCGCTATCCTTCTCTCGAGCAGCCGAGATCGTTCAGGAACTAATCAGTCATGGCGCTGTCACGAGTGTCCTTACCCTCCCAGATTTCAACTTACCTTTGCACTTCGCAGCATCGGCTGGAAACGCAGCCACATTAAAAATTCTGATTGAAAGTCATGAGTATCAGTCAGGTCAAGGAATGGTACCTCCTGTGAGTCACTCCACCTTAGATGTGACACCCCCTCTCACCGGATGCTGCGCTCGTCAGGGCAATGTCTATGGAAATACACCTCTTCATGAAACTTGCATAACGGGCAATGAAGAGGTAACGAAGTAAGATTATAGGGATAAATATAAAAGAGATCGAACTGTGTCCTGCTTCTTCCTGATCATCCTGCCGTGTGGCAGGGATCTATATGACTTTTAATATCTGTCAAATTTTAACTCAGTTTTCTCGTCAACACATCCGGGCAGTGCGCAGAATACCTTATTTCTCAAGACACCACGGACACTTATCCTCCTCTTGCCAATGCACCTAACAACCGAGGCTCCACTCCTCTCCTCTTCTCCCTCTACGGCCGCCAGCCATCTGAAAGACTCATTTCTCTACTTCTCGCCCGAGGGGCCGACCCCATGCATGTGGACCAGGATGGCGTGGGCGTCTTGCACATTGCAGCAATGCAAGGGCACCGTGAAGGGATTTCGTATTTTCTCTCCAATCATTTATTAGGAAAATCTGCTTGGGATTGTGACGCGAACGGGCACACACCCATGTTTTACGCGCGGATGAAAGGTCACGAGGACATCGTCGAGTTGCTGATCACAGGAAACAGGACAAATTGTGCTGACAAATAGACCAAATGAGAAGAAATCACACAAAACCTCATGTACTTATTACAGAGAATAGATGAGTAGGAATCAGGAGAAGAGAAAGATGGAACTGGAAACGTAAAAGGAGGGGCAGTGAGGGAAGCAAAAACGCGCTTGAAGAAACATTTCGTCAGTCTCCGGGCTCTTCGCACCGTATTTTTCTCCGCTGAGGGCTGTCGCCATTTAGTTCTTGGGCGCACGATCAAGCAAGTTGCTTTTCTGAGAGTTTGCCCGCACATGCATCTTACAAGGCGGTTGCAAAAAGACACTCCAAGCTCGCCCTCAAAAATGCGCTTCGGTGCTGTTTTAACATCAAATGTTCGCACAAAAAGTATCATACAAACCGGAAAATGCAACTATTCGCATAAAGCTGCCTTGCCCCTTGCTCCTTACTTGTTATATTTCCCAAACCCCGTCATTGCCACTCCCTTCTCTTTCTCGCATCCCATATGAGCCTCGTCTCCCACCACCCCCAGCCCCCTTTCAAGTACAACCAAAAAGAGCTCGCAAGGCACTATTTTCCTTTGCGTCCCTCACTAATCCCACCATATTCAAACCTAAAAGTGCAAAGCGCATATTATTCTCGTTCAGCGCCACCACTTTCCCCTCTTGCTCGCTTTCCTTTTTCCTTACTACTGGTGGGGCCAGGCTTGGGCGGGATACGCACTTCAAATACGACTTAAGGTTCGCTCGCATAGCGTCAGGGGAGGCGTCGCCCAAAGAGAGGGCCCGCTGGGCACAGGCGTCGAGCAAATCGTCCCTTCCCAGCTTGTCGACGTTTGTGTTAAGCAGCACCTGGTCGCTCTCGTCAATCTTCCAGAGATAATCGCTGAGCATGGTTCTGAGACCCGCCGCTGGAATGAATTTGTGAAACATGCCTATCGCGTTGCAAACGGAAACTAGGAACGGCCGAGGAACAGCACGCAAGTCCGCCTTCTGCCGACCCTTGCCATCCCTTTTTGGGCGGCAGAAGAGCACATACTCAAGATCTCCCACCTGCTTCAGCGCTTTTCCCGGACCCGCCTTGGTGGTGGTGTGCAGCAATCGCTCCATGGTCCGCAAGTGCCGCATGCGATCATTCTCCTTCCTGTGCGGGGCCACCGCCTCTTGCTGCAGACTCATTAAGTGCGTTACCACGCCACGGACCCGCGCGAAGTTTCGTTGCTGACAACGTTGGAGCTTCTCGTCGGAATTGAGATACGTGGAGGGCACAACGGCGGGGAAGAATGAGCAGAGGAAGGGAGTAAATTCCGGTTTACTCATTGTGAAAAGCGCCAGGCCGACAAATTTCGCTATGTCACCGCTCGTCTTCTGCATCAAATTATATTCCGGAAACGTCAACGTCTCTCCGCGGGCAAAGCGCTTCTTCAGCCCACCTAGCTGCTTCGTGTTACCCCACAGGTCTATCGTACCCTCTTGAAGTCGCCTCAACGAGTTCCCAATGCCTTGGACCAGCCCTCCAACGATAGCCAGTGGCGGGAGAACGTGTGCGGGCAAAGGAATGGCAAGTTGGCGTCCATCCAATATGAATTGACGGGATGAGTCGTGAAATTGTGTCAGTGTTTGAATGGAAGTGAATGTTGAGCCTTGGAGGCGCGAGGCGGCAACATGGGCAATGAGGAGTACGAAGGCCAAAAACAAAAAGCTGGGTGTCTTCATGGCTACTGTAAAAAAGGACACAAATGGATGGACGTGTTAGAAGTCCCCCAGGTCGAACGCCTGTGTGTGGGTGGCGTGAGAAAGACGGGGAATCCATTCATTGCGTGATGGAGACGGAACAATCCTTGGGGAGAAGGAAAGCCATCGCGCAATCTCACACTAAGGACACATTTGACCATGAGTACGAGGGAGCATAGCGCTTTTAATAGCAAGAAGACCACACAACACGCTCTCCAGGATAGGTGGTCGTGCTAGGTAGCTTGTCTGGGTGGTCTCGTTCTCTGTAAATGGTCACACAGAGAACAAGACTAGGAGCAGCTACGCGTGCAACTCAAGCGCCGGCTCTAGTACGAAAGAAGAATTTCGGGAGACAGCAACCAACGCAACATTGAGACTTATTTAAAGCTCTGCACCACTGTTTTCTTTCGTCCTTTTCATGCATGCAGCCTGACAATTTGCGTCTGCGCCGCGATCTCACATCATTCTGTCATCTTTTTACCTTGTCTCTTTTGTGTCCTATGAAAATACTTTGTTTTGTTTTAAATTCCTCTCCTCGTATCGTGGCAAGATGGATTTGATGACAAGAAGACGATTTACAACCATCCATTATTCCCCGCCCTCCCCATGCCATTATTGCCCATCCCATTACCCCATCCATTCTGGACCCCGCCGCCCGCCACTCTCCCGCCCCCCATCCCGCCGTTGTTATTAATATTTTGTACGTTGCAATTCACCATCACCGTGGCGCTGGAGACGACGCGCCTTGTGGTTCCAAGGACAAGCAGATCTCCCGATGTCCGGAGCTGAAGGTGCGTCATCATGCCGTTTTGCATACAGTCCATGCCGACGTTAGCAAGCTGGGGCAAGGCGCTGCGGAAGACGCCTGTGGCCGTCACGAAACCGGTTGCACGGCCGAAAACTTGGAAGCGACCGGGCCGCAAAATTGTGCCCAGAAAAATGCCGTTTGTGTCATACACCTCCGCCACCAAGTTCTGAAATGAAACTTGGTATAAATTGCGGTTCCGGATCTGAAAAACAAACCTGGCGGTGGCGCCTGTGACAGGGGAAAAGATGTAAAGAAGCTGTGAGGAACATTTTGGCTTGGACCTAGACGACTACTGGACCAATTGTTTACCCCCCCAATGTGCAATATTATTACTATCACTTACCAGTGAAACCATCGATGGCCAGCACGCTTGAATTGAACAATGTGATCTGAGGCGCTCGAGGGAAGAAGATGGCAATCAAAATGCCAAGCACCAAAAGTAAACCCAGCGTGACACCAAGACAGATGAACTTTCCTCGATGGCGCTCGCAGGTGGTGCGCGGAGGCTGCTTGTACGCCAGGCCCGTGTAAGGATCCACCATCACATCATCCATGTCGTACGAATGCATGCTCGCCGGCGGCATATTTCGTGGCGTGCCACTGAACGAATGCATGCTTTGCGGAGGCATACTTTTCGGGGTCGTGGCATTAAACGAGTGCATGCTCGGTGGAGGCATGTGACGTGGCGTGGTGCGATCGTAGGAGTGCATACTGGGGGGCGGCATGTTCCGCGGGGTCGTGCGGGGAGTCATCCGAGGCCCCATTTCCTGCTCATATTTGGTCTCTTCCCCGCCGCGTTGGGCGTACGACATAATTATTTCGTGCTCCTGTTGGATTTAGTGCTCTTGATTGATGATGCTGGACGTTGCTTTGCTTGCTGTGTACTGTGTGATACGTGGTGGACATGTGAGAGGAGGACATTCAAGATATTGTCGTGCCTGGTGCTTGAGCAGACATGAAGGAGCCAGGACTTTGCGATTACTGGCAATTTTTCTGTCAATGCTATACACCATGATGATAAGTATCACAAATTCTGCTCTGCAGGTGATTGCATCCGCGACCAATCGACATAACAAGATAATGACAATAGGTAAGATCTGATGTAGAAGCCAGGCTGTTGCTTCTTCGGTGACGTGAGGAGACTCGGACGTCACAGGTGGCCATCTTCCCCCACCCACGCCACGCACCTCAACCCCAAGTCGGGCTCAGGAGAACCTCTGAAATCTACACAAAGTAAACGCCACAACAGGGTCACACCGTTCTGGTCTGGTGTCTTTGTGGTTTATTTGATGCTCCGTGCCTGGGAGTGACCTCCTGCTCGCGCTTGAAGCTCGCTTTTCCCATGGGCTCTTCCACATAATTGAGCGGACGATGCAAATATTCCATGGATCGTGGTCCCTCTTGTTGTCTTGCGTCCAATCGGTGCCATACACTTATTACTTCCGTTGAGGGGTGTGGGTCGGCGAAGAAATGCAACCAGGGTACAAAGACATGAATTGGATCGGCTCATTTCAGCCAGTACAGCTCTGGCTTCTGGCAGTGATACCACCGGAACCCCGCGACTGAAAGTGTGGAAACACAGATCATGATGATGCACTGGGTGCAGGCCTTACAGTTTAAAATTTTTCTCAAGCAATTCATTAAACACATACAAGATAATTGCGCGCAATAACTCATTTTTTTTCATTGTGAGTGCATGAACCTTACTGCGTGATGCGAATAAGGAGCTGCGAGCCAGCCACCCCTTCCTCCTGCCGATGTCTCATTGCAGTCTCAATACGGCCGATCCCGCCTGTCTCCTCTGCTCCCCCTGTGATCATCGTATCTACCGTATCCCCCTCCACCCCCTCCTCCCCTTCCTCCCCCTCCTGTCCCGATAACCCCCCCCTCCCATACCCCCCCCCCCCTCCTCGATCGTCCCTGTAGCCGCCACCGCCGCGGCCTCCTCCCCCATACCCACCCCTTCCACCGCCCCCTCTTCCTCCCTGCCAGCCTCCACCGCCACCTCCTCGTGAATAGCCACCTCCATATCCCCCTCCGTAACCTCCACCTTGATTCCCTCCCTCCTCATCCTCCCCGTACGAGACCATACTCACTTTCAATTTCCTACCGGCCAGCTCCGTCCCGTGGAAGAAGGATATGGAGGCATGCGCAGAATTCGGTTCTTCGTACGTGAGCACGCACTCCCCTTTGCTCTTACCCGAGTCGTCCCGGTACATTTTGATCTTGTAGGGCCACTGATCGGGGTATCTAGGAGGATGGGGAGGGGGGCGAGAATGAGCAGATGAGGGCGGGATGGTCGAAAACGATTGAAGATGCTCCCTGTAGGGCTCCCTTTCCCGCCTCCCAGGGCTCTCACCCGCGTTTCTGTTTCATCTTCTTGACGATGCCGATCTGGCCAAAGTACTCGGCGATCTCGGCCTCCGTGGTGGCGGGGTTTAGCCCTGAGATAAAGACAGTCCCGTTCACGCGCAGCTTGTCCAGCTGAGGTGGGGAGAAAGGGCGATGCCGATGGATAAGAGGGTGCGGGGAACGAGAAGGACCGGGAGTGCACCCCAACGAAACAGGCGTCCCCGGCCTTGCAGGCGGGCTCAGGGAGCCTATGCGCGTTCGAGCGAGTCCCTCCCCCTCGAGCTCGAATCTATCAAGATTCGATTTCCCAGAGGGCGGGACCCTTGATATCCTCCGGTTTAAACAACTCCCCAAGCACTCATCGAGTCCGCCACAGGGCGGGCCGGGGGGCTAACTAGCCGGAGTTCAGGCGCACGCCAGGCACAAGCATAAAAAGTCACCCTCCGAGGACGGACAAGAGCCCCGAGCTCCCTGAGAGCGAGTCAGCACTGGCAGCAGCAAGGATTGCCCTCTTCCGACTGCCACGCAGACAGGAGGTTACAGCCACCCCTCGCGGGCCCTCAATCTCGCCACACAAAACCCAGCAACATAACAGGCACCCCGTTGCCAATTAGCTCTCTCGCCCCCCCTTCCTTCCCTCTCTAGCCTTGACCAGAAAGCGGCCCCGTGGCCGTGCCAAGAACGTATACACTCCTCCCCCCGCCCCCGCCGAGGCCCTCCTCCGCTCCCCTCCGCCCGGCTCACTCCACC